GTAGAGGTGGGAAGTTTTGACCACTGCTTGCCGACTACGCGGCTGTTCAACTCGCCCGTAAACCGCTCCTTTAGGTGCTCCGTACCAGCGGTCAGTGCCACCCATGTGTTGGTCATTAAATCAGCGGTCAGCCGTGCTCACTACCATGACGCCAGCAGCGCGCCCCCGCCTGCCAGTGTAATACATTTCCTCCAAATTATGGTGTCATTCCCACCCTGATATCTCCAAATCTAAAGATGTGATATCACCATATGAAACACCATTTTAAAGCCCAGCTTTCCCCCTACAAGACGATATAACTTTGGTTGATCTCAGTTCACAACCTTGAATTTATCGAACTAAGCCTTATATAATAAACGTGAAAGACAAAAATTAATGCTCAAACTCAAAGTAGAGTAGAATAGCCCAAGTAGACCTATTCAGTGTGAGAGGTGTAAGAACTGTGGGAGGGCAAGATGCAGTGATACTGAAAATCTGCAAATCTTGAACAGAAAGCTAAAATATAGAGATCTAATTTACTGTCACCAATCCAATGAAAAGCAAACACTTAGGCCCCTAAGTTCCATAACACGCTTACAAGTTATGGCGGTTCCCGATTTCACACAAGGCCTGCACCAATACACACTTTACTTTGCAGAGAGTAGTAGATCTAGATCTAGTAGTAAATAAAATTATAAACATTATACATTATACATTTGTTTTCAGTTTCACTTTATTTGTCCTCTGGTGTTGCGTCCAGCCTCCCCCATCCCAGAGTGCGTCTTTAAAAAAAAAAAATCTCCCCCCATTCCCGAGTCCTGTACTTCGAAGCGCTCAGAACGCGCGCAGGTTCATTGACCGGTCACAATGGCGAGCCCGACAAAACGCTTGTATAACTTTCTTTTCTCTTTTTTTTTGGGTGTTACCCCCACAAGTGACAGCACAGTGACAAATATTGATATATTTTCATGGCGACACCATGTTTGTAATGCCCAACCTGTGTGTTACAATAAATGTTGCCTTATCAGACAATTACTCACAAACTTCTGGGTGGTAACGAAAGCGAAAGTAGATCTTGATTTTCCAGTCGAGCGTTGGTGACACAATTCCGCTTGCCGCCAAAGCCACCAGTTCCTGCGAAACGTACTCTCTGAGCAGAATTAATATCACAATCGCGACCGGCAGAAATGGACTTAAAGAGGTTAATTGAATTTGGTTTTCAAATATTCAAGATCTTTTATGTATTTTCCCGGGCCTCGGCGATTTTTTAAAAATTCCCGGGGCCTGGCAGTCACCCTGCTCCCAACAACTCTCTTTCTGATAGGCCCGCTGTCGCAGTAGATCTAGCAGAGTTTAGCGGAGGAAATGGCGGTAGCGGAAATCCACTAAATAGCGACTATTGAGACCCATGATTGGAACAACGAGCTGCACTACCCGCACAGGGTGCACGCTGATAAGGAAGCAGGTCAGAGGTTGACCGTCGGTTGATGCGCAGACATTCCCCCCCCCGGGAGTTTCGTGAGTTCGCACGCTTTTCACCCCATTGCTTTATCATGGTATTTATAATCATTGGGCATGCTCCCCCAGACCTAAAAGTAATCTGGGGGGGGGGTTTCAGTGGCATTTCACAACAATTTGATATTTTGGCAATTAGGACTGATATTTAGGTGAAAACAATTGATTTGCAAGGGTTTTAGTGGCCATACGTGTGCTCTACTCTATATACAGCAAAAAGTTTAGCCCTCAAATCAATGCATCTGTGTGTGGGTGCATAAGTAAAAATTTAGGCAAGCGCTATTTGCAACGATGCGTTCTGAATAGCTCCCGTGCTATTTGCAATGCCGCGTTCGGAATAGCTCCTGTGCTATTTGAAATGCCAGTACTAGAATTAGATCTACATATGTAGTAGCCATCGTTTCTACATGATAATACTGTAGTTCTGCCTGAATTGTGGAAGCTTTCTCACTTTTTTAATAAATCTCCTAGGATTTGACTCCTTTTTTTATGACGTTGTCTTATTCCGATCAATATTGGGTAGATCTAAATCTAGAAAAATCTTGATCTAGAGTCTAGATTAGATCTAACAATTGTTTCTGACATTGTTTGTACAAAAGTAGACGTCTTGTAACAAGACTTGTTTATCTCTCATAATCATTTGAGTTAGAGTTTGAGCAAGTTTAAGTCGAAAGACGCTTGGATAACAATAACAAGACGGTGCAACTCGAACCTTAAGTTAGGCCTAGAGAACATATACAAGCTGTCTACGTTCTCTAAGCCTAATGTTCAGTGCTTCCAAGCGTGACATCAAATCCCGGTCCCGGAAGGGTTTCTTTTTCCTTCTCCTGAGCCTAAAATTTTTTTATTAAAAAAAAAATTAAGACTCACAGACCAAGGAAAGCCACTACTGAACTTTACCCAGGCCTAAATTGGTAAAAGGAATAGTATAGCTATACTATTAAGGCCTACTTTGTACAGAGCTCCTCTTGGGGACAAAACCAGAATGTGTGCATGCTTCTCATCACTACATAAAAAAACCAACTACAAAGCAACAAGATATATTTGGGAAGAGGCTAGCCGTACTTAATGACGGCTAGACTGGCAGTCTAGCCGTACTTAAGTACGGCTAGACTCGCAGTCTAGCCGTACTTATTCTTAATATGATGGCTAGACTGACCATTTACAAAAAATAGGCCTACTGAATTGTAAATATATACATTTTTAGTGTACAGTACCTAAAGTATTTGTATTTGAGACGAAACCAGGTGCCTTAATGACAGTGCATGTATTTTAAACCTCCTGTTTTCTAATGTTAATAGGGCCTAAGATAAGTACGGCTAGACTGGCAGTCTAGCCGTACTCTAGACTTCTTGTCTAGCCGTACTTAAGGACGGCTAGACTGTCAGGCTAGCCGTACTTAATATTGATGGCTGAATTGTAAATGAAATTTTTAGTTTGCAATGCCTAAAGTATTTGTATTTCAGACAAAATCAAAGGTGCCTTACTGACTTGCATGTATTTGAACCTGAATAATTACTAGATCTAGATCTAATGAGACCTGTGTACTTAACAGGCTTGAGTCGATAGGGCCAAACCTAGATCTAAGTACGGCTAGACTGGCAGTCGATATATTTATGGGAACAATTTGTTGGTCAGTCGAGAAGAGGACAACAACAACAAAAAAAAACCCAGAAAAAAACCCCGTCCAGGACTGGGATCGAACCCACGCTAAAAAAATAATGGTTTGACTTCAAGCGCAGAAGCGCTGTCACTTCGGCCATCAGAACTTCCAATAACGAAGTGCAAATTAAGCTTAATATTTTACACACAGCAACACGGCGCTTTATTTAGCACTGGCGCTAATCGCAACACGGCGTTTTATTTAGCACTGGCGCTAGATCTGGATTCTAGATCTAATCGCAACACAACGTTGCAAATAGGCACTTCCAAAAATTTGGAAGTGGCTATTCTCATCCGGGGTGAGAATAGAAAAACGATCTACCTCTCACCCGGGTGAGACTTGCCAGCGTAGGCTATTCTCACCCGGTGCGAAACAAGACCTGCTTTTCCTCATTTTGGAATACTGTCTATCGGTGTGGATGATCAAATTAATAAGAGCCAAGAAAAAATTACGTTATAGCACAAAAGTAAGCTAATTTGATCGTCTTCAAAGATGCTATGGCTATTTCACTGTTCGAATCGAGCCGAACTACGCGGGTCGCCATTTTGTTTTGCCCGGAAGTTCTCGCAAAATCTACTCCTCCCCTCTCTCTCTGTCTCTTTCTGAATACTGTCTATCGGTGTGGACAATCAAATTGACCAAAACAAAGTTAAAAAATGATGTTAAAATACAAGAGAGTAAATTAATTTGGTTGTCTACAAAGATGCTACGGCTATTTAACTTTTCGAATCGAGCCGAACTACGCGGGTAGCCATTTTGTTTTGACCGGAAGTTCTCGCGCTACTCCTCTCTCTCTCTCTCTCCACTGCCCACAGACAAAATTGTACGCTTTTAGTAGGCTACAGTTGTAATGGAACGTTTGTTCACGGCACAGAATTCTACAATTTTTCTGTTATCACAGTGTAGACTTCTGTGGTTTAGGGTGAACGCAAAATTTGTTGGCCTAGATCTAGATCTAGATCTAGGCTATAATGGTGAACGCGCACCGGGTGAGAATAGCCAAAAGACTCGCCTGCACTATTCTCATCCCGGGTGAGAATAGAGGTGGCCCAAAAATTTACCCTAGATCTAGATCTAATCTAGATCTCTATCTCTTCCTCAAAGACTCAATTTCAATGTTTCAGCACCCAAAGTTTGCCTTTCCTTTGTTCTTCCAAGAAAATATGGGGGGTACTTATTAGTATTAGATCTTGATTTCAACTTCTTTCCTCATTGATGGTGGCTATTGAAAGGAAGAAAACAATCATGATCCTAGGTCACCATGAGGGCAGCTGTCTGGAAACGCAATAGACTTCTTTGGCGCGTAACATGCAAACCCTGGGCTGACTTGCTTGGATGAAGAGGGGAGGGCAGGCGGAGAGATCGAGAGCAAGAAAGATTGCAAGCTGAGCAGGGATGTGCTTGGCGGGGAACAAAACGACGGCAGCAGTAGAAGGCGGCTCTGACTGATCAAAGTCAATGGTCATTGGTGGGGTCGGGGGGGGAAGAGGATTGAAAGTTGTTCCTGAGACAACATATCTCTACTGCATAACAAAAAGCATTTCCAAAATCCCCGATTAGTACTTGACCAAACAGAACGCGACAAGATTCTACGCCTATTCCTCAAATCAATCTCCCCAAGCTGAATGGATACGAGATTTTCCGCACACTGGTTGTTTCTATTTTTAGACATTGATCTGGCCTCAGACAGTCGCGAGTTGATCTTTCCGCGAAATTCTGAAAGACGTTGTCGTTGGCATAGCGCAGAAATGTTTTGGGGCAAAGCAGAGAGTTCAAATGTAAATAAACACATTACTGATGTAGATAATATAATAGTGTTGAATAGCTAAGGGAATATACTTACACTACACCTCAAAATATCAACGAGAGAGCAGTTTCCCACCAGAAATGCCGAACATGGCGTCGCATAAAAATACAATGGTCACGTGATTGCCTCGTTTTGGGGCTAATTAACATAATTTATGCGAGACCTAATTTGCATAAAATTTGCATAAATTTGCATATGGTCATAATCCTGCCCAGGTATATTGATGTTGGTTCATGGTCAATGTATACCACTATGTGACATGTTGCACCTGGGGAATCCCCACAATCAAGTTCCGCTTCGGAGATCGATTTCATACATTTAAAAGACCACTTGTTCTTCAAAAACCAGACAAACAGTTTCCCTATCTATCATTTTTCAAAAGATACCATTTCCATAACAGTTTTATCATACACCAATATAATAGAGAAATTATAGTCTGCAGTCCGCCAACTGGTCAGAAGGTTGCCTTGTCGGGGTGAATACCTATTATTATGCTACCCTTATGCTTCCTGTATCAATCAGCTGATGCAGACATATATTTCGTAGGTCTCGAGTGAAATGTGATAATTTAAACTCATGTTCGGGATGCAGAATTTTTCAGTACATTTACTATTGCCGAGAAAGCTTCAAAATGCC